TTGTGGTGTGTATGTATTCACACAGATGTCTTTACTGCCATCCAGGGATTTTACTCAAGCGGAAAGATAGAGGTAAGGGAACTTCCAAGTGGATGAATTGCCGTTTGCTTTGTTAGTCATATTACTTAAATTTGAATTTCAGGATAATTTGATGCTAGAATTTGTGATGTTGAAACTATTTTGGACTTGACCTTGGTGAAGTAATGACAAAATCATTTTTTTACTTCTTTAATTCTGACTTGTAGTCTATTGATAATTACTAATTACTAGAATAGGTCCTAGTATTTTTATTTATTTATTTTGTTAAACTCTGTTTATTCACTATTTTATTTGCAGCTAATCTGAGACGTGTCTCCAGCTTTGAAGCACTGCAACCTGACACAAGGTAGTACTTATGCTGTTGAAAAAATTCATTTTTCTTCCGAGTTGGTCAGAAGATTTATGAAACCCCAAAGTACAGCATAACAATAATAGCGCTATAATTCTATAGTTCATCTTGTATCTGATTCACCAAAGCTTTTTTGCAGGAGTCTTCCTTCAGATTTTGTAAGATTGGATCAAGATATCCTCTCACCACTTGCAGGAAAGAAACAGTTGTATGTATATGAAACCAAGGACTTCTGGGAACAAATTAAAACTCCTGGGTAAGCCTTACCAGAAGAGGATTTTGTTGCCTGGTTAGCATTTTCTTTTTTCATGGGCAATTACGATTTTTCGTCCAATGCTTGCAGAATGTCCTTAAAATGTTCTTCCCTGTATCTTGCCCAATTCCGTCGCACATCCCCCCACCTATGGCTAATGGAAATGGAACTAATTCCCAGCATTAGTGGTGAGGTTTTATATTCACCCATCTGCAAAAGCGCATCCTTCTGCAAAGGTAAATTTTCACCTCCCATTATTTGACTGTTAACTAGAAGGAATCTTGACTTTCACGGTCATGTCAGTCGCTCTGTGCTTGTAGCCACGATAGTCCAAATTTTTCACGTTTTTATTAATGGCTGCCTTATCTGTGGCATGAGCATCCATTGGTTAGGGATCTTTTGGTTGATGCACATTATTTGTGTTTTGCAACTTCTTTAGTTAAGTCATATGCCATTTTGGCCCCCCCAAAAAAAAAAAAAAAAAAAGTCGGATGTTGCTGTTGCTGACATTCAAAAATAGAATAATGGCAATAAGTTACTATTTAAGTGTTAATTCTTTTTCCATTAAACTGTACATATCTGTGCCCACAAGAACTCTTCCTTACAGGACATTACTTGTGTTTGTAACCCTCATTATCCTAGAAAAAGGTTATTTATGGCCAACCATTTTTTAGGCTGCACGTAAAGAGAAATTAATTCTTGCTTATCTTCAAATTGACTCATATAACTATGGTTGAACAGATTGGCCCGAATGTATCAATATCTGCAAATGCTCGTATAGGAGCTGGTGCAAGGCTTATTAGTTGTATTATCCTCGATGGTGTTGAAATTAAGGCAAGTGTAAACCTTCATTGGTTTTGAAACGCACACGTAGTTTTTCCTATTCCTGTGATTATATGTTTTTTTCTGACAGGAAAATGCGGTTGTCAGTCATGCCATTGTTGGGTGGAAGTCCTCCATTGGAAAATGGGCTCGCGTCCAGGCAAGTTCAAAAATTGTAACTATAAAGTTAAATGTTCTGTTCATAAAGGACATGCATTTTTCCCTCCCTATTACTGTTAATATTCTCAGGGCTGCCTGTTGCATAGACACACTTTGAGTGATGCAGTCTTGGAAAATGGAAATCCATCTGTATGACAAGCTTTTGTTAAACAGACTCCTTTTTGGAGTATAACATAGTTCATTAATTCTCATATCATATACAATTAAGCATAGTCTAACTTCCTAGTACGCAAAGACACTGTTCAATTTCACTTCTGGATAATCCTTGGTTAATTCTACCATATATTATTGCAATTTGTTTACTAAATTAAACCAACTAATGTTCAGGCTAGTGGAGATTACAATGCAAAACTTGGCGTCACAATTCTTGGTACCTTTTTCGAACCTTCTATGGATATTCTTTCTTTTTTGGTTATAAAGGACCATAACTAGAGCATTTATATATTTTACTTTGTGGCAACTTTGTTTGCATGTTGCATCCAGGTGAATCTGTTATTGTAGAAGACGAGGTTGTGGTTGTTAATAGCATCGTTCTTCCTCACAAGACCCTAAATGTGGGTGTTCAAGATGAGATACTCTTATAGGTCCTCCTCACAAGACTCTGTTTGATTCCTTATAGTTGTATTTGCTTTTTATTATTGTTATTATTACTAGTGGGTGACAGTTCCATGTTGGAAGCCAAGGACAGAAAATGTAGCGTGCTATTTATTGCGTTTGTAAAGTGACCTTTATTGATCAAGCTGTTGGTTGATGAGCATGGACACTACTAATTGGTGTTCTACAAAAAGTGCACTGTGCTATGCCGTTTAAATTCTCCAAACCAGTATCCCGAGAAAACCGTTTTCCCAGAGAAATGTAATTAATAGCTGTTATAATAACCCCTTTGGTTATTAATTTGTAATCATATTTTGCATTAAATGCTAAATATAGTCTTGAAATTCACATCATCAAGTGGGATATCAGACTATTCAAGGGCAGAGATGGGTAGGTCATTCAAGCATTTGAAAGACGGACATAAAATTGCCAGAGCATTTCGAAATTGTGGGAGACTAACTTTTTTAATTAGACTCAACTCTTTCCCATTAATTGAAAGAATCAATGTTGAAGTAACTTAGTTATTACTATGAGCTCATCACAATGAAATAACGACTTCTCAGTAAAAGAAACAAAAGGTTATCCATCAATGACTTCTGGACATTAATCTCAAAACTAGTTAAAAAATTAGGTGAAATTAATTATTTTTCATAAAATTTTAAAAAGATTTTTAATAAAAGTCATTAATTAGAGAGGTTTGGTTAATTAATTAAAAAATTTACAATTAATTTAGAATAAGTGTAAAAAATAATAATTTAAACAAAACATAAATGTAAGATCTTTATTGCAATGCATCCTAAGTATATATATTTTGAGTATTTATATAATTTTGAGTTATGTTGATCGTGTATTTTGACGGTATTAACAGCTATCGTTTTTTTTTTTAATTTAAATGTGAGTAAATAAGTGAGGGTTTTTATTTGATAATCCTGAGGGGGAATTTTACATTGAAATTTCCCAGTTCGAGTTTGTGAATTATATGGGAAAAGAGAACTAACAAAGATTGTTACCAGCATAAGTATTAAGATACACGTTGGTAAAAAAAAAAAAAGATAGATACGAGCTTTTTTTGGGGTCCAAATTAGATACTAGTTAAAGCCGCAATCATGTCAAATTTTGATAGGCAAATCAAACTTTGGACCATATTCTTTGGCAAACGCGTGTAATTTATCAAGTCTTAACCCCCAAAATTTATCCAGCATTTGTTATTAATTTATTTCCAACTGAAGCCTTTTTTTTTTTGTTGCGCCAACTGAATTCATTTTATTACTAAAAAAATTTTACAAAATTGCAAAAGTTCTAAAATTTATCTGTCTTTTTACAATGTTCGCTAAAAGTTCTTTCGGTGCAGATTATTTTTGACCGAAATTTAGACTAGTATAAGGAAGGAAGTTGGCTTTTCTCTTTGTAATTGCTTCACAAACTAGAGGAAATGCTTGGGCTCAAACTTCCCAGAACACTAATCATTTAACATAAAACAGCTAAAAATGCCACTATATAGAATAATATCACCCCAAAAAAAAAAGAACGAAAAAAGAATCACAAGAACTGCCTTAACTGATCCTAACTAACTTCAATTTTGCAGAAAGATCTTTAACAATTTCTTGATGGCAGCTCTATGCTGGCGCACGGAGAACATGCATTTCCAACATTAGATTCTCCTGAGAAAGATGTACCTCGTTATTTGACTACACCGAACAGAAATTACAAAATATGGATGGGCCTCTTGCCAGCGACTTCTGAGTACCATGATTTCCATGCTTCCATGTAATGACTGAAGAGTTCTCTCAAAGCTGCACGATAAGGATTTCATATCAGACATCAAATCAGTTGAATATTCAAGAATATATCGGTATCAAATCCATTTGACGTCGAATAAATAACGCCAATCAACTAAGAAATCAATCTTCATTACTCAGGAGTGGGCAAGTGGCCATCGAATAAGTTAAGAGCCACCAAGCAATCACATGATCCATGACTATTCTCAGTTTTCCTCATGAATCTAGAACTGATATAGCCCTAGGACAGATGGATCTAAGCAACTTCCCAACAAAGTTTCAGATTCGACAGTGTTTATAAAATATAATTTAAAAAAAAAAAATACCTTGGTTTTGATACTGTGGACGATAGGCAGTTGCCAGGCTATCCCAATCATGGACCCGCTTGGCATTATTATTCTCAGAGGCACTCACTTTGGGGACGAAGGCGGGAGCGAAAGGACCAAACTGATAGCTCCTTGAACTCTGCTTTGAGTCCTCCTGATCTTGATGGCTTTTGTCTGCCTGACCGAGCCAACTATCACCATCCACTTTGTTTAATATCTTAGTATTGTGGCTTGAGCCCCCACTAGAGAATGAATCCACTTTACTCCTCTTAAAACTGATGTTTGTGATATCATTACCAAATATCCTTTTCCTGGATTCGTTGGGTTTTGAATTGTGAATAGACTCATTCTCTATCTTCCCCTTCAAGCCGAGCCATCTAAAAGCAGGTTTTCTCGTGTCTGATGTATGAGTCTACAACCATAACAGATTAGTCAAAAACTTACAGTTGAAACAGAAAACGATATGCAACTTTAATTTCAACAGCAGTTAACGCAAAGAGGCAGATATATTACCACTGCCCGCTCAATTCTACTTCAAAAAATAACAAGAAAGAATGGAATAGCACCTTCTCAATGAGGTTCATGGAGGACAGCACATTCGCAATATCATATAGACGTCTTACTTTCGCTGAAAGGTCAAAGGTCAAAAGATATAAGTGAAAAGTTCAACGTTTCTTTCTCTATCAATGGATAATGAATAACCGCAGTAAAGTATTTACTTCTCATTATTGACGTATTATGGGCATCTCCTAGCAACAACCTGGCAGCTTCATCGAGGGAAATCAACTCCATCTGTAGAGTGATTGTTGGAAAGTTTTAACAAGACATAATAGATTTGGCTAGTAGGAAAATGGACCGCTTAATTATCAAGAAACTGATGGTAACCCTCACATTATGGCAAACAAAGAGCTTGACAAAATTCTGAGTGAGAAGTGCCAGAGACTTTTCCCTTCGGTTATCTGCAAAGTGCAATTGAAGCAGTGTCAACCTTCAGAACCAGTATAGTGCCATTGCAAGATGTAACGAAATCCCAATGCTTCACAGTTCAAAACTACAAAATTCATCAAAGCTTTTTTTGCAGGCAAGACGTAAGAGAACCTATTATGCTCCCTAAAGGCAAAAGCAGAGCCCGCCGCTTCCTACAGAAATGGCAACCCAGACTAAATATGAATAAAACGAAAGAAAGTTACCTTCCCCTCTCAAATTCATGGTGTTATTTTTACCATTCTAATACAATGAAATGCAATGCGACATATTGACCATAAAACTAGATGCATGGGCAATTTACGATTCAAATTGTAACTGAATTTTAATCCATGGAAAAGTATTAAAATACCATTCTTCGTGGCTTTGGGAAGAGTGGAGTTTGGACAAGACTTGTCATTCTGACTTCCAGTACTAGGATTGGACAATGTTTCTTCATCGTCCTCATCGTCTGATACCTGAAACGGATTATTGAAGTCAAACAGCTCATATCAGACTAGTATAACCCTTCCAAGTTCCAACCAAATTTTAAGTGTCAGGAAGAAAAAATAAATGAAATAATTTCTGAAATTTCGACTCCACTTACTTTTGCATTTTCGTGGCCGCCATCAAAAGCATCGTAATTCTCCCTTGAACCTTCTTCCTATGATACAATTAGAAATTGAAATTATTGTCAATCCTTGAACCATCAATTTGATGCACGGCATGCACCTCGGCACATGACAAGTTCTCGGAAAATCTAGTCCTGAACAGAATTCTTAGAAGTTAAAAACTAAATTTACCTTGAGCTCCTGTAAGGCCCCAGGAATTGCCTCAAATCCTTTCCAAGTATATTGATTCTTAGCTTTTCTTGCAAGCACCTAAAAATTAACAGACAGCGCGGGACACATGAATAAGAAAGCGGAAATTAAGAGAAAACGGGAGGGAGATTTAAAAGGATTCAGGCACCTTACCCCGACACTCTCCAGTACATTAACTATATCATAGATCCGCCGCCTCTCGACCCCTGAAATTTCACCAAAATTGAAAGCAACAATTAGATCTATCCCAAAGGCAATGCAATTCAAGAATGATAGAGTAGCTACACTATATTTTCCTTAAAAGGATGCATATTTCTACTTAAACTCTTATTTTTAGTCGTTTAAATAAGATAGGACCTCGAATTCGTAACGTTACTCACTGGTTGGATTCCTCAAAGTAGAAAGGAAAATATCAATATTCAAAAAGTTTCAAGTTTTTCTTGAAAAAAATGAACTTTTAACTGCTGAATTTTAAAGGGAACAAAATAGAAGAGAGTATCCGGAGACGGGTTCTTCAAAACCAAAATTGAGAGTTTACGAAGCTCCTCAAGCATAATCAGGTGCATAAATACCTAATCGCGCAGCCGCATCGTCAAGGCCGATCAAGTGAACGCTATCTCGATTATACAAGCTCAGGAAACTGCACGATGCGCATCAAATTTAAAACAAACGATGCCAAGGAGAAAGCTAGATGATATAAAGGAAGAAAAGAAAAGAGCAGGAAGGGAAAAGTACTTGGTGCACAAGAGGCCGAGAGATTTTTGCTTGCGGTTATAGGTGTAGTGCCTGGAAGGATCTACTAGTGCAGAAGAAGAGGCCATAGATTAGATCTGATGGAGCGATCCGTGAGTTAGAATTGGAGGGAAGAGAAATGGGGGGAAGAAGAGAGAGAGGGGACCGTTATGAAATAGGGAGGAAAAATTAGGGGCGTTTAGGAGAAAATGGCGGGGTCGGAATTTTGAAATTTGCGAATAGCGAGGGTTTGGATCTGATACCTGTCTTTCAATTCGTTTGTTTTATAGTTTCAGTATTTTCGAACAAGCGGGAATTTGAATTCTTGACGCGCCGCACCACCTACCTGTAATTACACTTTTCACCCTTGTTCGTTAGTTTTTCCCGCATGTGCTTTCGCTTCCGAATTCCCAATCATGTGGCTACCTACTTTACAAACATAAACATAATGGTTAATACTATTAAATAATGGTATCATTTTTCCTATTATCAACGGATCAATTGCCTGCCGTTTACACAATCAAAAGTTCAAAACCTTTGTTGGACACCGTGAGGCTAAGAATTCACTGTGCAAAATATCCTACACTTCTTCAAATGACTAGCATAAAGACCCGTCTCAAAAACAAAATTTAAACTATAATTAGTTAAACAGTCCGCTTACTTGTTTCCTTTGTTTAAACTTCCATAAAATCTAAACACGATTCAAAGACTTTCCGCCTATCACATTGCGGGATATTAATAATACTACTATTTTAGTCATAAATATAAGACTTATTTTGTAATGTAAAATTTATATTGTAATTTATACTACAAAATATGTTTCATATTTAGAACCGGAGGAGTAGTATTTAAGCCTCTCTCAATCTTCAAACATCTTGCTCCCAGCTCACTGAGGGGAAAATGTCTTCACTAATGTTCGGTCCACTTCATTTTAGGGGGTGTTTGGCAATATGAAAACCATGGTTTCAGAAGTACTTTTCCGCAAAACGAGGCAAACTCCTCCACATATTTACTTCGTAAACCGTAAAAGCACTTCTGAAACCATGGTTTGGTTTCTATCCAAACACCTCCATAGTTGGCGAGAAATGCATAAAACAGGAGAAGTTATACACAACTTGTTTGCCTAGTCCGTCCTTCCCAAAATTTCTAGTCATATACAAAATGTCGCAAACACTTGTTAATCACCATATCAGACTGATTAGGAAATCTAAAATCATAATCGAAAAGCACAATGTTCCTCTAATTCCACAGATGACAGCAGCACACGGCAAAAACACATCCCAATCACACCATTTCCCATGAAAAATTTATAAAAAGCTAGGGCAGCTCATCTAATATGAACAAGTTACCATTAGGGTGTGCTTGGAATCAAAGTTGAAGGTCTAAATGAATTTCTCCACAAGCAAAAGTAACTTTTTGAGTTAAAATGTTGTTTGGGTTCACGTTTTCATAATCTGACTTTTGAGGCTGAATGAGCTTTTAGAGTGAAGTTCCATATTTTTTTGCTTTTCACAAGATGGTGCAATAAGAGAAGCTGCTAGAAGCATTATTATGTTTTAGGGGGTGTTTAGATGAAACCAAACCAGGGTTGGAGAATAGTTTCTAGGAAGAATAGATTTTGTAAAGAATAAATTTTGTGAAAAAGTGATTCTGATAAAGTGAGAGTGTTTGGATAGTTGTTATCAGAAAGACTTTTTATATGTGCAAATTAATAAAAAGGATATAAGTTAATATGATAATCATATGAAAGATAATTTTATAATATATTTTAATTTGAAGAAGTAAAATTGTTAATAAAATAATTTTTACTAACATAATTAATAATATATAAGATAATATAATTAATAATGAATTAATATGTGTATATATATTTATAAATTATAAGATTAAATATGTTTATAGAAATTAACAGGAAAAATATTAATTTGCTTTAAATATTTTAAACATGAAATTCTATAACATTTTTTCATAACTAGTTTTTATGATAACATACTACCTCTCATCTTTAATATAATTAATTAATCGTTACTACGTGTGTAAAAACATTTATAAAGTATAAGATTAAAAATGTTTTTGAAAAGATAAATAATTTTTTGTGAACAGAAATAAAAAATGAATAAAAAGAAAAGTACAAAAGGCGGAAGATAATGTAACAAATCCTACCTCTAAACGTTAGTACCTCTTTTCTGATTGATTAAAAAAAACATACTACTACCTCTGAACAGTGAAGGACTGAAGGCGGAAGAGTGTCAGATGCTTGCCAATGAATATGAGGATATGTTTTTTTTACCAGACACATATATCAGATGCTTGCCAATGGATATGATTTTTTTTACCAGACACATATATCAGATGCTTGCCATGATATGAGGATATGTTTTTTTTACCAGACACATATATCAGATGCTTGCCAATGGATATGAGGATATGTTTTTTTTACCAGACACATATACCCCTCATCTTCCGCCTTCAGTCCTTCACTGTTTAGAGGTAGTATGTTTTTTTTTTAATCAATCAAAAAAGAGGTACTAACGTTTAGAGGTAGGATTTGTTACATTCTCTTCCGCCTTCAGTACTTTTCTTTTATTCATTTTTTATTTCTGTTCACAAAAAATTATTTATCTTTTCAAAAACATTTTTAATCTTAATTTTTATAAATGTTTTTACACACGTAGTAACGATTAATTAATTATATTAAAGATGAGAGGTAGTATATTTTTTATCAACATAATCAATAATATATAAGATAATATAATTAATAATTAATTAATATGTGTATATATTTATAAAATATAAGATTAAATATGTTTATAAAAATAATTGAGGGATGTTAAAGTCATATTATCATTAAGATCTACTCTGATAGATACAATCACACTCTCTAATTTAAGCTAGAAACAAAATAGATTCACTTTTTCTGAAACCATGATTTTAAATCTAAAACCATGGTTTTAGCCTGAAACCGCGGTTTGTTAATTTTTCTCCCTGTTTGACAAATTTAAAACCCAAACCATAGTTTGATCTCAAAACCATGGTTTCATCGTATTGCCAAACACCCCTTTAGTCTCTTTTTGTATGCCTTTTGTATGTATTTGTGGCCGTAAGAAGACAAGGGCAAAGGTGCTGCGTCGATGTACTATTTTAATTTATATTTTTTGTCTATTAAATATATCTAATTAAATATTTTCTCTGGTTTAAAAAATAAGATAAATTTTATCCATTTATTAAAATCAGTTTAAAATAATAAATATTTAAGGCATATATTTTTTTTCAAATATATCATTATTAATGAAGAGAATAAATAAAATGTGCAACAAATGAATCAAAGAGGAAAAGAAATATATGGTGGCAAAGCTTGAAAAAACTCATTAAATGCTTAGACAAAAATAAATATTATCTTACGAAAAAACTCAGCTCCTCCAACAAAGTTTATTTTATATTTGAACAGTATTTTTCAATTTCTTCCTAATAAATTAATTTATTGTCAATATTTCTTTTGCAGTTGTCACATTAAATACATATAATATCTCATATATATATATATATATATTACTTAATAAAATTCATGTCCTTTATATATATATATTACTTAATAAAATTCATGTCCTTTTCAATTATTTTATGTGTAAATTTACTTTTTTATTAATTATTCAAACAAGTTTCAGCTTCTCAAATTGACTTTTCTTAAAAAACCAATCCAAATATAAATCATATTACACTGCCTAACTTTTACTTGTGATTTTTACAGAAGTTAAATTGAAACAAAATGACCTCCCCCACAGTACCTTTCTACGATTCAATTGGTTTCATAGATCTCAGCCACGCCGTCCTGTCTGATCCATCTTCACTTCTAGGAGCAGGCTGTGCTCTAATCTCCAAGATATCAATCCCCCCAGAGATAAGCCTTCATCAGTTCAACATTCTCTCTGGGTTGGCCAACAAATTCCAGCCAAAATTCCCAAAATGGAGCCATGTTCACACTCTCTGCATCTCTCAGACCATAGCCCCCATGCTCCTTGGATTTTCAGAGAATATTCCATCCAACCGAGAGCATCATCCTCCTCTCATTCGGCGACCTCCAAGTGAAACTCCTTACTTGAGTCAGTCTTTCTTTTAGCCCGGCACATAACGACAGTAGGAGAGTATTTTTGTTCTAGTCTTGCAGAAGATACCCAGAGCCACCGTGCTGGAGTTCATAGTTATGAACTTATGCGAACACCCCAAGATTACACACGCAGTGTACATGCAAGGTTTGCCAATCCCTCTTTGTTGAAGGTTTAATTGCGATAAGAACCAAAGCCGCCTACAATCAGAATTCATTTTACTCCATGGGAAGAGCCTGAGCAGTAAATAATGCGGCGTCTATATGTTACGAGGCAACGAAATCGTAGCATCAAGCACCAATCCTTTGTTGACATTATCGATTATGCTCCTTTCAATTTTAAATGTAAAAGCTTGTAATCTAATTCATATTAAAAAAACTGTGCTAATTTTTCTTAAAAAAACCCCTCCTTACAATTTTTTAATTTATCAAGGGATTTCCATTTGAGGATAATCATAATTTAGAAAAACATTTTAAAAAACTCAATTCATATTTATTATAAATAATTAGCTTCACTAATTTTTTTAAATTTACTAAAATTAATTAAGTAGCACTTATATTAAAAATAAAAAAGTAAATATATAATAGGGTTAAAAATTAAAAAGCGGAGCGAGACCCTTATCTATAATTTTATTAGACGCGCATCCTACGTTCATCCACATCGTATTGTGTGCGCGGGAGTCTCTCTCTCTCTAAATGCATCATCTATATTTTGTGAAAGGGTCCCACGGTGATGAACCAATAGTTAGGAATTCTTTTGCCACCCTGATATTAACGTTAAAAACAAATATTTGTAACAATACAAAAGCCCTGAGATTACCCAGATTGTACCAGATCATGCAGACAGCCATCCAGGTGCCCGTCTTTTTTATTCATGCTTATTTCCTACCACCACATAATGGCATACGGAGCTTAATAATTATCACTATCTCAATACACTGGGATTAAAATGAATGGTTGAACTGATGAAGTTACCGATTAACTGATATGCAGAAGTCAGCGAATTAGTAAATTAATCTGAAGCACAGATTGATGATATGATGATAACTGAGGTGAACGAATAGATAAATCCTCCAAGTCTTTATCATTGAAGCACCCACACATAAAAATTATTAGTGTATCTTCCATCGCTGACATCACACAGGTCAGCCTAATATCACTCCCATTTCATCAATGCACCTGAAAGCCTTATATTGGACATAACAGGGTTTACATTAAAGACATACTTATATCTCAAACAGACTTAGTTGCGGTTTGAGTCAGCAAAGTAGCTGTTGATGGATGGCATGATCTCTGGGGCTCTGTTGCGCACATGCTTCCTCAAGAAATGCTCTGCATACTTTTCTCCCTCAGCAAAGTTCTCCAGCACTCCTGCAGCCCTCCCCTCTTTGCTTACCCTATTTTTGGGAATACATTATTACACAAGACAGAAAAATAGACTATTATTCATTACCCTCTCATCCAGATATTAATTAAACAAGGAAAAGATCAACACTTGTGATCATGGCATAATTCTTGAGGAAATTTTCAAATTTTATTTTCCAATCGATTATTTAAATTTTTCTGTCATACCCGGTTTCTGGAAAACAAGTAGGTTGCATCAACGTTAAAAAGACATCCAACTCCAAGTATTTCATTGTTGAGTAATGCCAATCTTACAATAATTTTAGGATTGACTTGGATTAGTCTACCTAAGAATCCCCCTTAATGGTTGTTCAAATGCAGTTTTTGTCGACCTACCACATGGAAGACACTCATACTAAATACCACTTCCAATTACAGATAAACACTTCAGATTTTATTGTGACACCGGGTCTCCTGTCCTAACTGGCATCCATGCTTGGTAGGTGCTGATAAATAGGATCCATCTTCCCTATGCTAAGTTGCTAACCCTTCCATAATAGTAGCAATCAGCAAAATTGTACAAATCCAGCGACTTAGCCGGCAAAAGATATTTTAACTCAGCGTCATGCCTAACAGATCAAATCAGCCCTCTTCTCTTCACCGATTGTGACAATCATTTGGAAAAAGTTACGATAATCAAAATAACAAACAAGAAATTCAGGCGAAGCATAAATATTTTAACCCCCAAGCTTCTGCTGACTAAATTAGTCAATCCATTTCCAAACCAGGGGTTGAACAAGAAAATCAAACAGGGTCCACGAAAAATCAACGGAAGCAAAATAAAAAATTTGGCATCAAAGACGAATATTCCACTACACTGGTTGAAACCTAACACATCAGGAATAGAAAGCGAGAGGGATTAACCTGACTTCAGGATTGATAAGGATATTGCGAACCAATTGAAACCCACAGATCCCTACAGCAACTCCAACAGCCGCGAACAAAGGGTACACCTAAACGCCCAAATGTTCAGTAATCCATGCAATAAAAACTTAAGAAATGCGAAAATCGAAAAGAGAGAAAAGGCGAAGGAGAAGCACCTCGGGCCTGAGCCAGCGATTCGCCATCTATAGCAGAGCTCAAGGAAGATCAAGGGTCAAAAAGAGCTCGCTTCGAATGAAATGGGCAGAAGAGGTGGGTGGGGAGATGAACAGAGGAGGGATATATATCATCGGAGAAAACTGACGTCGAATTATTTTAAGTATAAATATTGCAATTTGTTTGGATAAAATTCGGAAATATTTTATTGCTGCACTGATAGCTGCGTTATTGTCTTATCCGTTGAGAAAAACAGGGCATTCGCGAGAATTTTGCATAATAATATAATTAGATAGCTTTATTTACTCCTTTTATCCTATTATCCTGTTTATAAAACAAAGAGAAAAAAATTTTTAGTAGGTAGAAAGAAAAAGTTTTCACATGATTATATAATTTTTTTCTTCATTTATTATTATGTTGGGTTTGTTTTTACAAACTGTAATATATATTAAAATTAAATAAAAATAAAATTAAAAAGTTATTAAATTTTAAATTAGAGTTAATGAAATTTAAATTTTTTTATTTATATGAAATATGTTAAAAGTGACTTATAAATAAGATAAGAGAGTATTTTTAAATGATTAAATTTGATTTTATTCTTATACTTTGATCATGTTTTGTTTTCAGTTCTTATATTTTATTTTTGTATTTCTTCTCAAATATTAGTCCTTTCAATTTGAAAAATAGTCACAAAAACCAGGAGCGACTCCAAACAGTATTAATTTTGCTGACATTGAATTAACCGCATTAAAGCCATCAGATAAATAAGTAAAAATATAATGACTTGAAAAAACATGACCGAGGGGCCGTAAATAAACCAGCGTTAATTTTGCTAGCTGAAAAAAAAATGTAAACTTGTCTGATTTAAAATTAAAATTGTGTTTGATTAAGTTAGCATATTTTTTTCCTACTCGTTTGATGGTTTTGATCACATCAAGCTCATGCGCGCAAATTTTATGTTGTTTGGGCAGTTCGTGGTTCTTGTTATCTTTTAATGTTATTTCGATTTTATTTTTCTCCGTCAAATTGAGATTCTATGCTTCAATAATTTGGATTGTTCATTGTTGCAAGTTGTAAGGCATCTTGCACGCTACTCGATGTGACACCCAAATGGCGAATTAGCAAGAGCCACGTGACATGGGCGCAAGGTTCCATTTTAGAATTCTTCCCGCCCCTTGTTTGTTTGCCCCTTTGATCACCCAAACAAACCAACTGCCAAACTCCATCTCCTTTCCTTCGGATGGAAAAGAACACAGATAGCACCAACAAGAATTAGTCTAATTGGTAAGAAAATTGGTTCATAACTTATAAAATGATTAATTAGAACCCTATTACTAATATGAGGACTAAGGCTGTACAAAGAGCAGGTTAGATTGGATTAGGTATTAGCCCGAAATCTGGTCTGAAAAATGATCGGGCTATAATATTTGGTCTGGAGACCGGACTAATCTGGTTGAGTCCGAAATAAAGACTGAGTTGGATTTAGTCTCCCAGCTTTGCTGCTTCCCTTTCTTTAAAAGAAAATGATACATGGCAGAGAAAAACTGGATTTGGACTAGGACTATCAATTTTTTTTTAATGCTTACAATACATGTAAACATAATCATTAAACAGTAAACACTTGGATGTGTACGGTCCTTTCAGCTTTTTTTATAGCATATAAATAAAATAATTTGAAAAAAAAAAACTGAGGAAATCCCAAATAAATACCTTTAAAATATGAAAATCCCATATTAGTGACTCCAATTCCACTTATCTCAAATCGGTATCCAGATATCAAATTGGGATTTTTGAATGTTGTTGATTTACTGTAGTCTGATTCTTCCTTCTTCCATTCTCTCTTTTCATCGCCTGCTCACTTTCTCTGTACCACAAGCACCCCATACCCCCACTACTAGCTCTATCTCCGCCGGATTAAGTGCTCCTTGTACTGGGTGAAAGAGTTAAGAACAACCCAGCAAACGTGAGGAAAGGGAGCAACAAATTGCCAATGAAATCAAACAACTCATACCTAAATCACATTTGAAGACAGAAGTATCGACACCATTAATGGCTAGAATATCGATAAGGTTTGGGTCATCGAGTTTGATGATGGTGGTTCGGTGGCAATTGACGACGATAAGCTGAAGGGTAGAACCATCTTTGCTGAACCTGACTCTGTCGACCTTGCGTCCTCGCCCTTCTTGATGGCATTCACGAATTTGGTTTGGGGGGTAACAAGAAGAAGATTTTGAGCAACGTGGAGGAGCTGAACGGACTTGATTTGCTGGGTTGAAGAGCAGTAAGTGGTCACTAAATACAGAAAGATGAAAAGAAGAAGCCGATGGAAAGAGATGGATTCAAGGTAGAAGGAAGGGTTAAGGTTAACCCGATACCTCCAAGTATTTTTCTGATTGCATCCAGATTTAAAATAATTTATGGTGTAAATTTACTATTAAAGTAATTAAAATAGTGCACACATATCTCATAACAACAGATTATTAGTTTGACCATAAAATTGATGAGTTAGCTTATGTTTGAACAAAACAATTTATTTATCACGTCTAATAAGCATGTGAGGTGGCTTTTTTGTTAAATCTTTTTTGTTGTTTGAGAATTATCTCTGAAACCAGAGTGGCAGAGGGTGAGAACTATCGGGATGACGGAGTTGGACGTGGTGGATCCGGATCGGGTATAAGCATGGAGCGAGATGGGTTGACCCTTGGTGAAGTAGTTCTTCGAGGTGGTTGCCTCACGTTGCGCTACTTGAAAGATCCAAAAGAACTCCAGGTGCTTCAAGAATGGATGGTTCTACAGTTGGGGCGTGGGAGTGATGCATCCAGATGGGTACTTAGAGATTAAAGATCGATCAAAGGACGTGATCATAAGTGGGAGTGAGAATCTGAATGGCGTGGAGGCTGAATCAATGCTGTACAACCACCCGGCGGTGAACGAGGCGACGGTGGCGGCGAGGCCGGATGAGTTCTGGGGAGAGACACTGTGTGCGTTCATTCGATTGAAGGAGGGATCAGAGAAGACGCCGACAGAAATAATTTTTAAACAAAAAAAAAAAAGCCACGTGACATGCTTATTAGACACGCTAGATAAGATTGTTTTGGTCAAACATAGGCTGACTCATCAATTTCACAGTCAAATTAACCGATCTCTTACTATGGGATATGGGTATACTATTTTAATTACTTTAAGGATGAACTTGCACCATAAATTATTTTAGGTCATTGGATATATCCAGAAAAATACTTAGGAGTGTTGGATATACTTTTAATTGAGAAAAAGATGGGCAATGGACTAAAAGGCCGAGTGTCACAATAATGGATGGAGAATCTGCCTGGCTTTCTTCCATCCGAAACAGAGGAAGGACTATTAATTCATTATAACAGTTTTTGTAATTTGGAAAAGTGTTTATCAACAACAACATTGTGATGGTGAATAATTAATGGGATGCAGTGAATTGTTATATCGCGGTTGTAAATGAGCAAAAGTTGTAAATATCTTTGAAGGAGTGGTCTCATTTGTTTATTTTAATTAGTCGTGTTGATAATTTTTCCAACTATATTAACACCACTTTTATACTTATTGACAATAAGTAATAAGTAAAATTCATCACAACTTTGTTAATCGCGTTAACAATTCTTTCAAACAGATTAATAATACTTTTATATGTATTGACAACAAGTAATTAAAAAATTTAATTACAACTTTGTTAGGTATATTAACAACTCTTCTAAATAGATTAATAATACTTTTATATGTATTAACAAGTAATCAAAAAAATCTATTACAAGGTAAACCAATTGTCACAACTAGGCAAATCACATGCTACTAACTTGTTAATGCTATTGACAACTCTTTCAAATAGATTGAAAACAATTATATATATATATATATATTAAAAAGTAATTAGCGAAATTCATTACATAACAGACTAATTAGAAAAGTTGGGCAAATCGTATACTGCCCTCTTGTCTGGTGTATTGACAACTCTCTCATATCAATTGACAATGTTTTTATATAGATGAATTACACTAACTTGCTTTTTGTATTGTCTTTCCTTTTGTCAATTTATGAGGGCAAGCTTGTCTTTTGGCTAATTTGGAAATACCAAATCAATACTTCTATTCTAATTTGGGTTTTTGCTTGTCACTAGCACTAACATGGAATTTTGTACATTTAAAAGTATTTTTGTGTCTTTTTCTCAAAAAAAAGAGAGGTTAAAGTATATTTTATTCTTCCTCTCTCAGTAGCCTCCGTCTTCTTCCTATAAACTCGAACAATAAACCCTCTGAGAACCATCATCACCTTTTGCATCTTCAATGCACCAAGAGAACAATAATCCAACACGTTTTCATCTTCCTTTCGAAGATGCACAGTTGAGAGAAGTGAGGGGTGGCCAAGTCGAAGGAGGAGGAGGGAAGATAGAACGGCTAAAAGGGGTTAGGGCATAAACGAAGAAGAGGAAAAAAATCTACCTGGACTGGGCCAGATCAAATGGTAAGAAACATTAGTCTTGAACCCGATCTTACCCGGTTGCCCAGTCTAACCCAATTGGTCGAGTCTTTTTTTTTCGAGGAGCTTTTTTCCTAATCTGGTTAGGCTGCGTAGTTGCAAGGGAGACCGGATTATGGGTATTTTTGCATAGCCCTAATGACAATCTTACTAGTAAATAATTTGTAAGTATTTTTATAAGTACTTTTTGAATCTTGAGATATGCCCTAGTCCTGTGAGTCTCTATGACTTAACTCACCTAAATTTTTTTTATCCAGAACAAACACTAATAGTGAAAACCCTATATTTGGTAGAAACTGACACCAAATAAAACGTTTTTTGGGGAAAAAAAATTTCTGCGTGTCATGAGATTTATTCATGATAAATCATGCTATTCGGCATTGACAAAAAAAGGGTTCGCATAATGATTTTAATGAAAAATGATCCAGAATGTCGTGATATGATTTTTTAAATTAAAATTAAGAATACCAGCAGCTTTAACTACTTTTTTAATTTAAAATGATATCATCATGCGTAGGACGATTAGTTTGTAGGCATCGGTGGATGCATACTGTCACATGCACCAGGAATAGGGACCAATTGTTCAAGTTTTCTTCATCTTGCGTTTTTCTTAACTGTAAAGGAAAAGCTCACAGCTGATCTTTTGGTTGGGCAGATCATAGGGAAGGTAAAGGGGAACATAGTTTTATGGACCATGGTTTTAGACAATTAGTTGACACGTTAACACGTGGGGAGGGTGGGTAAGTGAAATTATTGTGGATAGGATTATTTCTTTAACTAACATTTCTAAACACGATTGTTTATGATTAGTTATATGCTAATTGGGAGATGTAATTAATTAGGTGATTTAAGAGATGATTATCAACCATCAAACTTGTTATTTTAATTAAATTATATCATTTAACTATAACCAGTCTAACCTTGAATTGATCCCGGTTTGACTCACCGATCATTAAATCATTATCTCAACTAATTTAGTGTCTGATCCGGCTTTTGTTCGTTGTTTAGGTTTAGTTGCCTATATAAAATAGGACTCACCTCTCATATTCGTCCTTTTCCCTCCTGTCACTTCTGCTCTTCAAATTTATGGGGTGTTTGGAATAACTTTTTAAAAGTGATTTTACGAGTAGGTATGTGACTGAAATTTTGTTTCAGCATATGTGAAAGTGTTTTTAAGTGCTTTTTAGGCTTTCCAAACACTCCCTCAAGCTTTTTGAGATTTAGTATATTATAAAATTATTATTACAATGCTAAATAACAAAAAATAATTTTAGATGTCAAAAATATATAATGATAAAAAAATTTGTGCTGAATATTTCAAAAATATAATGATAAAATATTTTGTAAAATAATTTTAAACTACATTTTCATTACAATGTTAAATGTCTATGTCAAATTTTGACGATTTAAATTTATTTATTTTTATAATCTAATATCGTTATAGTAATCTTGTATTAATACAATATACTTCGGCAGTTAGGATTTAAATGAGGGTTGGAGGTGCGAAGGAGGAAAGAAGGGGCTGGCCTGGTCTTAAAAGGCTGGACCGTGATAGACCCAGGCATGAAACTTTTTCTATGTAGAGGTTTTTTTTTTTTTTTTTTTTTTTTTTTATCACTTTTAAGTATTAAATAAGAGTATTTTTTTTCCGAAGTTAAATCATGATTACCATCTTTGGACTAAATGAACTAGCTGGATGGGCTTGACTTATTTTGAGAGTTCTAAAAGTCACGTCTTATAGCTTTTTTTTTTTGGCTGAGCATGTATATTTTTTTATTAAAGACAATTCTATTTAAAATATAATCTTATTTATAGTCTATAAATAAAATCTTATAATTAAGACTGAAAATAGTATTATTGGATAAGATTAGTTTTGATATGAAAATACCTGTACTTAGTTAGAAGAATTTTTTTAAAAAACTCTTTTAGACTTAAATGAGCATTCAAAATCTCATTTATCTTTTTCGGGCCAAAAGCCTTCAAAATGTCATTTACCCAAGCTTGTTTGTTAAACGAGTTAATTTTTTTTTCCCAATAAAAAGAGAGTACATGAAACAGAAACAAATTGGGGCCGTCTCCAATTTGTGAGCCGTTGGATTGAAGATCCTGGAAATGGCGCCGAAGGCATCACTGATTTGTGACCAGGATCATGAAATTCAAAAATTATATTTGCTTTGTATGGTTTGAAACTCCCTCATGGGGACAAAAATCTGTATACTGTAAAGTTCATATATACTATATATATATATATTGCGAATCATATTTAATATTAGGGATAAAATATTTAAATATCTCATAATGATATGCCAAAGAGTACTCAAGCACTTTTTTTCCCCCTTTTGTTCTTATCTCTTGAAAACTGTATCTATTGTTAGATTTGACTATTAAAAATATTGGTTAAATCACATAATTTATTGGTCAAACTTAACGGCAAATAATAGTCAAAATATTTTTGCTACAAAAATAAATTTTCAGAGCATATAAGGGTTAAAAAATTTTGAGGTATTGAGTATTTTTCGTAAATATTGTGAAAGTTTTAAGCACCTTATTCCTTTAATATTATACTCCTCCGGTCCTTCATTATGACCCAAATTGAGTTGGTTTTGGTCTTAAATATAAGACCTATTTATCATATTTATCAATAATCTCTAAATTATCCCTATGGATACTTTTCAACCATAATCAAGTAGAAGAAGGAGAGGGGGTATTGAGAAAGATGATTATGGTGTTTAGGAAAAACGTGTCATATTATTATAATTAATTAACTTACATAACTTCTTAATCTAATCAAATTAGTTAAATGGGTCTTATATTAAGGATATATAATTGGTTTATTCAGCTGATCTCTGCATCCTGAAGAGACTCTTCAAAATTCAAATTTACTTCTGGAGATTCAGTTTCTGGTAATCTGGATGATACATGGTTCTATGGGATGGGAAAATCTCCGTGTTTAAAACTTAGAAATGAACATCCAAGAACCATCGAATTGTCACAGCATATTTATATGCTATCCTCTCAGTTCCTTTTTTCCAGATCCGATACGTTTCGTAAAGGGATTTAAAGATATAGAAGAAACAAAGACGACAATGAAAACGTGGGGCCATTCTGAAATGAGTATAATGTGTGAATGCAAGGGTGAATCATATATTTGCAGAAAAGACTTGAATATCAAGTCATCCACAGAGAATCCGAAACGCTGGGTTTAATACTATTATTCGTGATCTTTAATTTGGTAAAGGAGGGTGCAAAATTAAAAGATTTTATCCATAGAAAGGAGGAAGGAAAGCGATGAAAGCATAAGGAAGAGGGATCCAATAAGTCGGGCGCGTGGTTTGAAGGAAAGGCGGATTTATTTATTATTGAATCAAAGAGAGGTATCAGTGGAGATAGCATCCAAGATTAGCAGGACACAGAAAATCAAAGGGAGCTTGTGGATGAAGCGAGCCAGACAAAAACAGATGACTGACCTGAAAGGCATGTCGTACTCCACCAGATTGCATGGAGTTCTATAATATTCTCATGTGACGTGGGACTAAATAAATAAATAAATAAAAAAGGTACAGGTCTATCCAGAATTTTGTTATTTTGCTCAGATTGCATTCACTTACTTTTTACAAAATTGCACTGTAAAATTGTGCCCAAAAAAAAAAAATCAAGGGTATCATGGTTAAAATTGCATTATGAAAAGATAAAGGATAGAATGATATATAAATAAGACATGATCAAAATTACACTTTATCCCCTTAAAAA